GGAGCAAAGCCATTAATATGATGTCTTTCACATGTATGCAAAACACAGGTGAAATAATGTGAAAATCAACCCATCATTTTTGAAAATGTGTCTTTATTGCATGTCAGAGCCTTTTTTATTTCTGAGTCTATGTTTACTTGTACTTGAAGTAATATACGGCTGTTTGAGTGCTTTGTTCATTCTATCTTCTGAAGCTTCAGGCTTGTTTAATTTATTGTGTATCCTGACTATTTGATTGCTGTAATTATCTCATAAAGCTTTTGTGCAAAATGTATGTACTCACTCGTACTGGTGATGTTTACATTATGTAAGCTTTATTTACAATGAGTACTAGATGATTTGATTTAGGATCAAAAGTTGCATAGAAGATATGGATAAATGTTAACAATATTGAAATATATTGTTAATTGACATTTCAGACCTTGTCTTGAAATTTAAGTTATTCAAGAAATCAAGTTCAACATCCATCCTTCGCCCTTATGTGCTTCCTGTAACCAGGATGCAGGATTCCCTGCACTCTTAATACTACATCGTGTATCAACTGTGTAGGAGAACTTAGCAGGTGTCTTCACTCCTGCAGCCTCTCCATTATACTGGGTACAATTTTGTGATTGAGTTAGCAGCATTAAATTTCAGAGAATTAATTTAGGGAAAGGCTTTCTGTACCCTAAGCAAATTATGTTACTGTGCTAGATGGTGCTTGGCAGCATTAGCGGCTCTCTCCTGTATTAGGAAGTAAGTTAATACTTTCTTTTCCCCCTTCTGCCATATTAAAATGAATAATTATTGTCTGTATAATCTTGGGGCCTAATGTTTAATCTCTAATGTTTATGCACATGGACCATAACATACATTTGCTATCATGGGGCACTGAAGGGATAAAAACTTAAATTCCACTGGGGGACTTTTGTGAAGAACTAAATTTCTCCTCGCCTTCATCTGCGGTCTCTGTCTAGATCAGATCTAGATCAAATTTAAGAAGTCCAGTTAGAGTAAATTTCCTCAAATAAAAGTCCAAATTTTCAAAAAGTTGCATCATAATTCAATGCAGTATATTTGAAAGTAGCCCAACTACATACTGTATATTCAAAAACTGGCTATCATATTAGACAAAGTACTATTCAGCAGTATTCCAACAATGTTGAATTAATTTTCACAAATTAAGTGGATGGTACTTTAATAATAATTAAAAAAAAAAAAGTAAAAAATGTTCTATTTTCATTTAAGAGAATTTAAGATCAGCAGTCAAACATAAAATACAGCTTTTGAAAAAGACTTCAGATCAATGTTTAAAATAAAAAGCCATAGTTTAAGTTTTTCCTTTCCTATGTTTCACATATAGACCATCTCAGCTTTAAACCTGATTTTGCATCTAATCTCACCGTGGAAGCACTTTCCTGTCTTACTTCTCTCTCCCCAACCAGATGGCCCCGCCCCTCCCCGAGCCTGGTTCTGCCAGAGGTTTCTTCCTGTTTAAAGGGAGTTTTTCCTTCCCACTGTCGCCAAAGTGTTTGCTCATAGGAGGTCAAATGATTGCTGGGTTTTTCTCTGTATGTATTACCTTACAATATAAAGCGCCTTGAGACCACTGTCGTTGTGATTTGGCGCTATATAAATAAAAGAAATTCGTAAAATTCGTATTCTGAATGAAGGCTTTGATTGACTAGCATCACATGAAATGAGTTACGAAGCGTGTGCCGTGTACCTACATTGGCCAAGACAAACAAAAATGCTCAAGATTAAAACTACCATCAATTATGTGAGCTCTCTCATCATTTAAATGACCCTTACCTTTCTACTAGTCACCCTGCTCTTGTTTTCTCCTCTGTGCTCATCAAATTTCATATTTCTCCACAGTCATCTTATTTTGTCAGCATTTCCGCACAATAAACAGGTGACTACTCGCTCTCCCTTCTTGCCTATATATATATATATATATAAACAGGTGACTACTCGCTCTCCCTTCTTGCCTATATATATATATATATA